TAGGTCTATTTTACTATATATATATATATATATATATATATCATATCTAATGTTTATATTATCCTAGATGAGCGCTGTCCATTCATACAATCTTGTTCATTATAGTACAAATAAACGATTATTTTATCATGTCTTTAAAATGTAACAAAGAGCTCCAGATCAGCGAGAAGTTTACCATGCATATTTAAAGTGTTGTTTCTGGTGTTTTGCATATGTACAGTATTCCCTGCTCTCTATATGATCTGAACCGCTACTGATGTTGTGAAGATGTTTGCTGAAGATGTTTCGGTTTAACTCATTCTCTCTCTGTGTGTGTTTCTCCCAAGACTCGCTGAGTCTCGCACTAACCCCCAGATGCTGGACATTGGGGTAAACCCTCAGGACTACAACCCTGAAGAGTGCTTGTCGCCTAGCAACTGGGACAAAGCCGATGCTGAGGCTGCCGACGCCGAGGACGCATTCGGATTCTGATCGGCGGTTCGCGGAGGAACGATCTGACCTCTGGCGGCTGTAGCTGATTCCTCGGCCGGCTTTGAGATGACATGCATTTCGGCAAACCCAATGAGATGACTTCAACAAAAGCACAGACCAAAGCAATACTTTTTTCCCCTTTTTATGACCCCCCCCCCCCCAAATATATTGACATTTAAAGTTTTCTGTTACTTCCCATAAGTTGCTTTTTTTTTTGTATTTGTATGAATATAAAATGTATGTGTACAACAATAACTGTATAATATTTGCTCAGTTATTATTATTATTAATGGGTTTAATTGCTGAGGCTAGCTTTGCAATTCTATGCAGTCGAATTTCTGAATATATAGTCTCGGGGTAATGCTTACTAAATGACATGATGTTTGAAGTTTGTGTGGAGTTGGAGTGTGTTTTTTAAGCGCTGAAGTGGTGAAGGTGTTGTATATGTGAGTTGTCTGCCCTCCGATGTATGAAAACGAAAGGATAAGCAGACATGAAGCATACAATATTGGACAAAAAAGAGAAGGCAGGGTATTTAAATGAGACAATCTTATTTTTTTTCTATTAAAATGTATTTTTGCACTTCTCTCTGTGTCTCTTTCTAAAGCTTATGGTTTCATTTCAGGATATTTCTGCTTATGCCATGCTTACTGTTCATTCTTCATCAGGTTACCATACTCATCCAATAAAACATGGATGTCACCGTATCAGATGGTATTAGGGACTTCATGGTATCATGGTACTACTATATGTAAGTGTTTAAAAAGCAAAAACATTGTATTACCATGGATGTCCGTGGTATGTTTTTATGGAAATGCCCATTTATTTTGTAATGTTAAATGCATTCCTTTGCCCAATTAATTTCAGATTGACTTTAAGTGTAGCATATATATATATATATATATATATATATATATATATATACATATGCATACACACATATATATATATACATATACATATGATGATCATATATATATATGTATATATAAGTAAGCAATGAACTGATATTTACCACTGTAGTTTTATTACACTTCATGAGTAGAATTTATAACACCTCAGTCAGTGTTAGTTTCTGTTTGCATTATTCATTTCATGTTCATAAATTAAAACTAATGAAAATGCTTTGTGTTTTGTACTGTTTTGAGTTGACATGACTCCCTCTAGTTGTGAAACTATTGCAGTGCCATAATGATTATGGTCATGTGCTCTGTGACGAAAATAAGGTTAGTACTGGAGTCCAAATAATATATTTTTATATTTTTATTTTCTTTGTGTGGTTTCATTTCAGTGGCTATACAAGTTATTATTCAGGTGTTAATGAATAGACGGCACTGTCACGTAGATTTCACGAGTCATTTATTAATATTCATAATAATATGTGCCATGTAACGGGTTACTTTTTCAGTACTTTTCTTATTTTTCCGGCGCTGGTCAGAATAGACCTACGATAGTCGTTTGATATTACTGCGTTAGTGTATTTGCTGGGGAGGGTATAGTTTCACGTAACTCATTTTATATATAATTTTAGTCGTAGTAGTCTCTGCACATTTTAACGTCAAAAAATGACACAAAACACCTTTAATTCTCGTTAAGCGACCAACTTACGAACGTCTGCCTTCGAGCCAATCAGTTAGGAGAACTGACGGACCTTCGCATTGCGTAATTAATATTCATGAGGTGCACGTTTTCACCAGCAGGATTCAAAAATACCGATATTACCTATATTTTTATATTATACGGTCAGTTATCTTCCCTTGGCCATTTTTTAAAACTATTTTAAATCATGTGAATAAAATTAAAGTTTTATTTTTTAAAAATCACATGTTCTGGTTTCCAGCCAATCAGAAGACGAAGTGTGGTTGAGAAGTTATAGACATCAGGTGTATTCCGCACCATCAGATTCGAGGATGGATGTGAAAAACTGAAGTTTATGGATGATTAAGTAGCACTTCGAAACGGAACCTCTTATTGTATACGACAGGTAAATTTTCAAAGTTGTAATCCACATTTAACGTTAATTCTCCCATTACCATAGTTGTCAATTTATTAAATGGTGCATTTGACGCTTTTTTACAAACTCCTAGCACGCGCTTGTCACACATTTCACCAAAGCCCACTTTTATGGTGTTTAAAAAGAAGATTGATTGAGTCACTCGTGCAAGTATTTACTTTAACCAATTAGTTCAGGCTAGCGTCAATAACATGAGCATCGGTTTGACCTGATGCATTTCTGTGTTTCCATCAAAAGGAATTATTAAATATGCATCAAATTGGTTTTTGGGCGGTGAATTTTAATGAATGACCCCATTTGCAATGAAAATGGACATTTGTCTAACCTACTGATAAACAATATTCTTTCTCAGGTTCATGCACTTTGGCCAAGACCTCAATGTGTCCCTGCTTGGATAAAACTGACCAGACACTCCTTTTTCCTCTTGCAGTCCTGCTTGACTCCAGTTTGAATAACAATGTCCGATGATTCATCCTTTCATTTAAAACCACTCTCAGTATACTCGCACATGGTGAGCTCTAAGCAGCAGTACAATGCCAACAGACCAGTTTACAACATTCAAGTACACATTTCCAATAAAGAAGCCAGAGCACGTAAAAGACGGCTGGAAGATTCATGTTTTGATGAGACCTATGAGACCCCCCTTAAAAGACAATGCATCACGAGAACATTTTCCCCGGATGAGGGATACTATTCTGTGGACTTTCTAAGCAGAGTCCAGGGATCGACACCTATACAGCCATTAATAATATCAAAAGACGTCACACCGCCTCGGTCAAAGGTCAATCAGCCTGTGACCCCTGTCGTGTCCACGCCTCTGTCCAATTACAAACCGAACCAGATAGATCGAGAGCGGGAGAGCCTTCCCTCCCCGATACCGGTTCTGAAATGGGACCGAGAGGTTCCTGCGGCTGAAATCTCATTGTGCACGTCTCTTAACTTTGATTTTTGCAGTTCTGTTCCTTTAGTTGGCTCTCAGGGACCTGTGAAAGGTGAAATCAAGGAGGTCTCACATAATCTCATCCCAATCCATGAATCAAAATCCCACATCGTGCCCCCAGAAACTGTTGTCCCAGTGAAAGAGGAAAAAGGAGTGTCTGTCAGTCACCAGGCGGAGCCTGAGGTGACTCTGGGAAATGAAGAAACCACCGCAGAGAGCTTTGAGAGCACACTACCGCTTCAGGTCCAGGTTTGAGCTCCATCCTTTGTGTACTAGTGACATTTTTACTAGTTTCTGTCATTATTTGCTCTTCCTGATGTTGTTTTATACCTGTTCAGTGGTGTTTTGTCCATGATGGAATTCAAAAGGAGGACACTTGAAGCTTTTTCAATGACCATTCATATTGGCAACATCTTTCAAGGTCTAATATGGTGGAAAGAAATTAAATAAAAATATTCTACATTCTTATGAAGCCATATGATTTCCTCATGTGGGAAACAGACCAATTTTAAACCACTAGAGAGAGAGTGCTGCAGGTGACGTATTTTAGTAGGCCAAAACCTGGAAACAAGTTAACATTTTAGTTTGTTTAGCCTATCTTTAGTTTTTTTACTTCTGGTGAATGTATTTGGTTCATAAAGATGTGCTCATAAAGATTTTACTGCTCAGTTAAAGGTCCCATATTGTCAAAACTGAAATTTCCTGGCTTTTTTCATGATAACTGAGGTCTAGGTGCTATGTAACTACCATATAAGTTTCAAAACAGTCAGTCCACAGTAAAATGCACACAGCCAGCATAAAGTAGCTGTGATTTTTCACGAACCGTTGTGACTTCCGTAAAAAGTTGACGTCAGAACTACACAGTCACCGCCTTCAGTCACCACCCCGAGCAC